TGCCAGCAACCCTTGGCGCTCCCTGGCTTGTAGAAGCGTCGCTTCAATCTCTGCCTCACCTTCACATATACGTCCCCTCTGTGTGTCAAATTTCCCTCTCCTTTCTCTTATAAGGACACCAGTCATTGGATTTAGGAACCACCCTAATCCAGTTTGTTCTCATCTCAAGACACTCATCTTAATTATATCTGCAATGACCTTATTCAAATAAGGTCACATTCTGAGGTTCTGAGTAGACATCTTTTGGGGGCCACAATTAAACCCACTACAGTGAGTAAGGGATTCCCTGAGACACACAAACCAAACACCAGTAACTTAACCGAAAATGTTAAAGGGTGGATCTTCTCACTGGACCAGCTCCCCAAGTGTCCCCTGGTCCCCCACAGAGTTGCAGCATCGTGCCAAGTCATCTAAGCATCTGCCAAGTGCCAGGCTGTGAACCAGGTGCTGTGGGGTGGAAAATGGTAAACATCCTACAACAGAAACATCATACAATCCTATAGTCCCCCACAGCAATAAATTAATTACCCAATGCCAACTGCGCTATTGCTGAGAAACACCGGTATAGAGAAAAATAAAATAAAATCTTATTGCACTTTAATAAAATGTTATAAAATTCACACAGCCCCTGAACTAGTGATTTTATAGAAACCTGATTTCTCAGAATTCAAGTTGGGAGGCTGGCCAGTTAGCTCAGTTTGTTAGAGGGCAGCTTTATAACACTAAGGTCGTGGGTTTGGATGCCTGTACTGGCTGGCTGCCAAAAAAAAAATTAAAAAACCATAATCAAGTTGATTCACTACCTGTAAATGTATCTAACCTAGCTTTGGAAGTCACCTAACCCAACTCCTTCGTTTTACAGATGAGAAAACAGGGACCCAGAAAGAAAATGATTATAATAGCAACTGCAGCCATTTCTTGAACACCTGTAACATGGTAAACAATGTAGTAGTGTTTCTTGAAATTTGTCAGTCACAACAAACCGATAAGGTAAATACTCTGTTAACTTTATTTTGTATCAAGCCATAAGTAACCTGCCTGAGGTCCCACAGCTTGGAAGTGGCAAACCACATTCAAGCAGTGGTCCCTATGATGCCAAAGATCTGGATCTTTCTGTCTCATGCAGCCACTGCAAATAAGTTTAGTGACTTTGGCTGTCCAGTTAGCTCAGCTGGTTAGAGCATGGTGCTGAAAACACCAAGGTCTGGGCTTCAATCCCTGTACCAGCCAGCTGCCAAGAAAAAAATAAATGAAAATTTTAAAAAGGTTTAGTGACTCGCTGGAAACATGGATGAGTGGGCCTAATTCTTCCCAGTGCAGTGTTCTGTCCACGGCCCTGCCCTGCCTGTCCCCTTCTGCCTGTAGTTGGTCCTGCCTCCTGCCTGGTCACAGTTAGGGAAAGAGGAAAGGAGGGGTGGGAGGGAAAACGACAGGAGAAGAGAGGAAAGGAAGGAGAAGGCGTCGCCCCTGCTCAGGGGAAGAGTCGCTGCCTAGATTTTCATCCTGCCTGCCCATTCATTCACTGTCCCAAGCCAGTCAACTAAATTAATGGTTCCCATTCTTTGGGATTTCCTGGACCATTGCAATAGATAGACAGATAGACACACATCCACACAGAGTGACCAACTTTTTTCTTGGCAAGTACAGATACAAACCAGTGATCAACTTCCAACATGTCATTTCATCAAAGGAAGAATATTCCAGTGCCAACAAAAGAAGGAAGGGCCTCATCTCAGAATAAAATCTAGTCCTTTAAATTGAATAAACGTAACATTATGGATAACTTACAACAGCGTTCTTATTTCTCACACTATACAGTGGATTGGCGTTGGGGAGCTATGAATCTAAGTCATTCCACATTCAGTGAGATGATACTTTATGATGGGATGAAGCACCAAAGTGAAAAATTCAAGATTCTTGGAGTTGAAGGGCCCTCGGGATTCATCCATGGTGTACAGCAAGGAGCTTTGAGTCCAGGGACCTTGGGCTAAATTCCAGCACGGCCATATATGAAGTTGGGTGTGGGGTCTGGCCAAGCTCCTAAATCTCACCACAGACCTCAGTTTCTGCCATTGCAAAATGGGACTAAACTAATGACCTCCTCGCAGGGCCAAAGAGGATCAGTTAGGTGTTTCCAGCAAGGCCAATTAGTTCTGCCTCCCTCCCTCAGAATCTGGGAATCCACTGTCCCTGGCGGTGGTCCCTGCCTCCAGCTGAGCACTTCTGTTCGTGAGGCCCCTCACACGCAGGTGGCAGCTCACCGAGCGAGCCCCTCCCTGCCCAGCCCCAGCTCTCTTCTCTGGCACAGCTGAGAACCTCTGAATTCCAACTTCACCACAAACTTTTCAACTTCTGAATACAGAAGTCATGTCTGCATGGGGTCTTCACTGCAAAGGGCCAGAAATGGTGACCCAGAAAAAAGAATCCTGCTGAAGTTGATGAAGCATCCTCATAGGAAACCAGGTTGCAATAACCAACACAAGGTTACATAATGCACTTTATGGTCCCTTCCTTATCTCCCAGCCAATGGGGGAAAAATCACTTTTTAAATGACTACTTAGCTTATGCAAATATACCGCAGGATAGAAAGAAGAAAACACCTGTGTATCTGTGGTTACAAAAGCACATGGTAATATTTCTCAAAGCTTTTGGAAGCAGAGATCCAAATATCCTCTCTCTGCATGAGTATGCATGCATGTGAATATCTAAATTCTGGAAGCACTGGTGCCTGTAACTGCTTGTTCTGGAAAGTGGGGCATTGTGCTTCAGGTGGTGGGAACACTAGGCCTGTGGTTCAGGCCTGAGCTGCAGGGGTGGAGTGGTGGAGATTGAAGGGGTTAAGTTGAAATTAACATTGTAGGAAGTGTTGAAGGAGAACACAGTCAGTGAAGGACCTTCTCCACGCAGAGGTGCCTTGGTCAAGAGGGAGGGGCAGGTTCCTGAACATCAGGCTTGGTGGCCCCAGCTCCAGACACCACCCCCTCATCCCACATTCTCTCTTACTCCCAGGCCAGTAACAAGGTTTCCAAAAATGCCTCCCACCCCCTCCGTACTTAAGTCTGACTCTAGCCCTCTTGTTGGCACACTGTTAGGGGTGGGGAGGGTGGATTCACTGTGATTGGGAGAAATAGCCCACCTGCCCCTAGGAAACATAAAAAAAGTCAGAGGAAGAAGCCCAGGATAACTGGAGGGTGAGGAGAGTGGGGGCCAAGAACCAGGCAGGGATCCCGTGAAGAGAAGTGAGAAAGCTTGTGGGTGGACTCAGGACACAGGAGGAAAGAATGGCCATCTGGATCCCAGAGAGAAGTGGCCGCCAGAGCTCACTGCAAGGGAGGCACCGGGCTCCTGCCAGGAAGAACCTGGCATGTGAAAATGGGCAGGTCCTGAGTTGTGACCAGTGGATGGCCATCTGGATCCCAGAGAGAAGTGGCCGCCAGAGCTCACTGCAAGGGAGGCACTGGGCTCCTGCCAGGAAGAACCTGGCATGTGAAAATGGGCAGGTCCTGAGTTGTGACCAGTGGAAGGGAGAGCGGGAGGAAGGAAGGGAGGAAAGTTGTCACTTTCAACTAAAGACACAGCATCTCGGATACAAAGCGCTGCACTAGACACTCTGGAGACAGCTCAAAGATGGATCCAGGCAGTGACTTGGTGAAAACCTCTGGGCAGGGGACCTGGGCTCTCTCCACCTCCTTTCTCTCAAACACAGCCTGTCCTCAGGAAAGTACCTACTATCAGTCACTTATATCTTATTACCTTATTGTAAATATATAGGCATTTGCACCTGAACCCACCTTTCCAATCATGGAAGGAAAAGCTTTACTCCCACATTAAAGGAACTTGAGAAAACACCGCTCCAGTGTAGAGTTTTTGGCAGGCAAGTGGTGCGGTGCTTCTCGGCAGTTCTGAAATTGCCCTGTGCAGGTCACTATCTACTTTCCCTGAGTGGAGACCAGGAGACAAAGGGGCCCCAGTGACTGAAAGGTATGCAGATGGGCTCTAGATGAGAAATTAAAAGAGGCAGCTGAGCTAGACTCCATAGCTTTAGAGCCCTAAGAATGGGAAGGTGGAAATCTGCCTTGTGTAATTTAACATGGAGAGTGGGGAAGGGTGGTGTTTAGATATTAGAAGATCACACCATGAACCTGAGACGTCACTGTCTATGCTAACAAAGCACGTGAAATCCCAGCTGCACTAAATGGTGTTCTCCAGCCTATACATAGCCTTAGCTTTCTTGTCTGTAAAATAGGACTACTGCTTAATTCACAGGGTTATTGCGAGGTTTTGATTTGATGAATGCAGTGTTTGGTGCCTGGTACAGCGCGCACGCACACACACACACACACACACACACGCGCGCGCGCGCGCGCAAACATTTATGTACAAAGTTTCACTCACCTAATAGGCAAACGATAGCATTTATGGGGTGGCGCGCGCGCACGCAAACATTTATGTACAAAGTTTCACTCACCTAATAGGCAAACGATAGCATTTATGGGGTGTTTGCAATGTGCAAGGCATTGATGCAAAGCATTACATGCCTTAACTCATTTAATCCTGATGAAAATCCTATGAGAGAAATAGTAGTATTATCCTCATTTAATTGATAAGAAAACTGAGACACAGAGAGGTTAAGTAACTCACTCAAGGTCACACAGCTAGAAAGTGGCTGAGTCTGGAAATGAGATGCCATTCAATAAACAGTAGCTTTTGTTTGTTTTTAAAATGGCATCATTGTTCTCTGTTTTAAATATTAACAAGTTGATTAGAATGATAGAATATTTATCTCTAACAAGAAAAAAATATACCAGCTTGGGTGGTTTCTTATTTATGTGGATTTCATCTGATTTTCCTTTTGGTTTCAGCACAAAAATCCTATATGACCGTCCACGAAAGCCAGGCTGGAGACGGATGCTGAGTCCAGGAAGGGTGTGTGAGGATTCCTTTGGCCTCACCCTTGTTTCTAACTGTTGCCAGTACTAGGTGCCCAGTCCTGAGCAGCCATGATGGTTGAGGCTCTCCCAAAGGCCCTGGAGGTCGACGAGAAGTCTCCAGAATCCAAGGATCTGCTGCCCAGCCAGACCGCCAGCTCCCTGTGCATCAGCTCCAGAAGCGAGTCTGTCTGGACCACCACCCCCAGGAGTAACTGGGAGATCTACCGCAAGCCCATCGTCGTTATGTCCGTGGGTGGGGCCATCCTGCTCTTTGGCGTGGTCATCACCTGCCTGGCCTACGCCTTGACGCTGGGAGAGAAGAGCCTTACAGTCCTCAAGATGATAGGGCCTGCCTTCCTGTCCCTGGGGCTGATGATGATGGTATGTGGACTGGTGTGGGTGCCCATCATCAAAAAGAAACAGAAGCAGAGACAGAAGTCAAGTTTCTTCCAGAACCTCAAGGCTCTCTTCCTGAATCGCTGATGGTGGTTTCCCCGTCACCTTGACACCTTGACCAAGAGAAGGAGATTTGATGACCAACATCCAACATCCCCATCTCCTCCGTGGAGTGCCATGAAACTGATCCAGGCAAACCCTCCCTCCAGCCCCGTGGAAAGATTGAGCTCAGGGCTCCACCTCCATGCAGCCCGGGAGCATTGGGGGCTGTATCTCACTTGGTCTCTCTGTTATTACTAATGCTGCCCTAAGATCCTGGCCACAGCCAACCCCTTCCATCGCTCTCATCTCTGCTCCTGCATCCAAGCATCGTTCGTCCAACTCTCTCTGCCACATGCAATGCATGCTGGGAAATTCCCTGGGGGGTGGGTTCTGCCCCAAGGAGAACCTTGTGTTTACATTTCTGAGTGCCTGAGCTGGATTCCACATTTGCATCCTTCTGGAACCAAAACTGACCAACAGAGAAGGGAAGGAAGGCTGAGTTCTGACCCCCTGGGTTTGGCAGCCCCTGCTCCCTGAGCGCGTGAGACACTGACTTGCATATCAAGAGACCAGACAAGTCACAAGTATTCAACATTCCAAAGACTGAACAGAGAAGGGAGGCCGGGAAAAACACTTTGCAAGACGGCACATCTTCCTGCACATGATAGCAGTTAGCCAGCCAAGGAGGTTTAACTCCCAATTACATAGTATTTATACCAGAGGCAGTGGGATAGGCTAGGGAGTTTCACTGTTTCCCTTTGACCTTCTAACCCCTTCTCATTGACTCCTTTCCTCTCTGAACTTGGCAATTAGCCAAGGACAAATGCGTGTGGCCCTAACTTCCTCTCTACCCACCCCTGCCTCCATCCCCGATTCTAGAAAAACAAGATTGAAAGCTACAGAGGGATTCTGTAAAATTATTCTCCACTTCTCCTCCATCAAGATCAAATCCGAGAAGATCAAAGTCCACATCTGAATGGTCTGTGCATTTCTAGAGATGAATTCACTTAGAAAATCCCAACTTCCGCTATCTCTGCCCCTGCCTACCAAACAAGCAACTATTTATTAAGTGCCCTGCTCTGGACCAGGCCCTAGGTTGGGAGAAAGACAGCCATGGTCCCTGCTGTCATGTTGCTTTCCAAAGGCAGAAACACAGCCAAGCCAACTGGCAGCGAGAATATTCCATGCTGCATTCTTGATGGGGGAAAGGCAGGTGACTGCGGGAACACAGCAGGTGTCTATCACAGATTTGGGAGAGGACAGAGAGGTTCCTGGAGGCCATGTCATCCTCACTGAGAACTCAAAGGAAGAGAAGAGTTAGCAAAGAAGGGAAAGGAAAAAAGCAGGAACCACCACGTTGTGCAGAAGCTCAAGGTTAAGAGAGAGCGTGATGAGATCAGGGAACGGCAGGGCCACTGCCCTGAGCTCCCATGTGCTCTGTGTCAGTCCCTCTCTCGGCCCGCTTGCCACCTACTTCCCTAAGTGCCTTACTGCAGCTTCTCCTGGGGCACGTGGAGGGCCCACTGGGGCCTATGGTAGAGCCTGGGAGTGGGTTTCCAGAGGGCCACCAACAGAGAGTACCCACGAGGTAGGCGCTCCCAAAACTTCCTAGGACAACCAAGAGGCCCTCAGGTAAAGACCAGGGGGCACCTGTGAGAGAGTCAGCAGCACAGCCCCAAGGCAGGCCAGAGGCCCAGTGGAGAACGCCTGACATGGGGGTGAGAGGTTGACCTTCTAACCCCTTCTCATTGACTCCTTTCCTCTCTGAACTTGGCAATTAGCCAAGGACAAATGCGTGTTGCCCTAACTTCCTCTCTACCCACCCCTGCCTCCATCCCCGATTCTAGAAAAACAAGATTGAAAGCTACAGAGGGATTCTGTAAAATTATTCTCCACTTCTCCTCCATCAAGATCAAATCCGAGAAGATCAAAGTCCACATCTGAATGGTCTGTGCATTTCTAGAGATGAATTCACTTAGAAAATCCCAACTTCCGCTATCTCTGCCCCTGCCTACCAAACAAGCAACTATTTATTAAGTGCCCTGCTCTGGACCAGGCCCCAGGTTGGGAGAAAGACAGCCATGGTCCCTGCTGTCATGTTGCTTTCCAAAGGCAGAGACACAGCCAAGCCAACTGGCAGCGAGAATATTCCATGCTGCATTCTTGATGGAGGAAAGGCAGGTGACTGTGGGAACACAGCAGGTGTCTATCACAGATTTGGGAGAGGACAGAGAGGTTCCTGGAGGCCATGTCATCCTCACTGAGAACACAAAGGAAGAGAAGGGTTAGCAAAGAGGGGAAAGGAAAAGAGCAGGAACCACCACGTTGTGCAGAAGCTCAAGGTTAAGAGAGAGCGTGATGAGATCAGGGAACAGCACAGCCACTGCCCTGAGCTCCCATGTGCTCTGTGTCAGCCCCTCTCTCAGCCCGCTTGCCACCTACTTCCCTAAGTGCCTTACTGCAGCTTCTCCTGGGGCACGTGGAGGGCCCACTGGGGCCTATGGTAGAGCCTGGAAGTGGGTTTCCAGAGGGCCACCAACAGAGAGTGCCCACGAGGTAGGCGCTCCTAAAACTTCCTGGAGCAACCAAGAGGCCCTCAGGTAAAGACCAGGGGGCACCTGTGAGAGAGTCGGCAGCACAGCCCCAAGGCAGGCCAGAGGCCCAGTGGAGAACGCCTGACATGGGGGTGAGAGGAGAGTGGCCCTGCCCAGGAACCACCCTTGGCTTGAGCTGACTCCCTTTACTCCGCAGCCTTGCAGCCTCCCTGGTCACCATAGCAGTGCCTATCCCAAGAGGCCTGCAGGAATCTCCGTCCTTCACAGTGGTTCCGCATGAAGAGTCAGAACCCATCCTGGCTGCCTCTGCATCGTGGGGAATTCCACGGAGGCAAGTACCTTGGGGACACCCCTTGCTCCACCTACTTGAGGAGTCATTGTTGGGGACCCTGTGGCCTTTGAGGCTCCCCCAGGATGTCCATGTCATTCATTCAGGCCCATGCCAGTGTGGCCAGGTCCTCTAGCCCACAAGTCCCCTGCACACAGGCGGGCCAGGACCAATCTTGAGGATGTTACAAGTGCTGTGTCACTAACTGTAGTTCTGCTGCCTCAAGTAACAGGGCTTGCAGATCAGTTGCCTTTCCTCTGCCATAGGTGCAGGTTCGGGATGGACCTACACCGTCGCTCTCGTGTCCTCAGAGCTTTCTTAAATGGGAGCAAGCAGGATGGGCTCCCAGCTAGCTCCTGTGCCTCACCACGTCAGCCCGAGAGCTTACAGTCGGAGCACGGCTGTAGGAGGGACCACGTAGATGCTGCTACCACAAATGTCTTAGTGAAGGAAGTTCGGGGACAACCATGACATTAGAAGGTGTCCGAGTCTGCACTCATTTTGCAGTCTCCAGCAGCACCTGCCCTCACTCCCTGCCCCCTCAGGTCAGTTTCTCAGCAAAGAAAAATGAGGAAAGAGCTACAAGGAAAGACCACCAAGTATTGTTCATCTCCACCGGGACCCCCCACGTGAGGGGGCCTGGGAACGTGCCAGGGTCACGCCGAGGCAGGACACCTTGGAGACTTTTGCCAAAGACTGCTGCCCTGTGGAATCCTGAGCTACCAATGTACTTTCTCTGTGGAAACAGCCACGTCCGACACCACATTTCTGCAACAAAGCATCACCCGCAATGACATCTTTTATGCCCATGCCTCGGAGGAGAGGACCAGCATCCACTTACCAGGCTCACAGGATTGTATAAACCCCCCACCCCCAACCCCACCCTAGAGCTGTTCTGTTTGGGAGAATTTGATCTAATCTGAGGCCTAAAGGAATCCATATAATGTTGAATTGTATTCTATTTACCAGTGTCTGCTGTGTTTTTGTTCTGCCCCTCTCTCCGTATCAGCCCACAGTGCTGCCTGGGAGAAAAGGGCTTCGTGCAAGGTTCCTCAGGTGCCAGGTGGGAGCTCATGACCCTGCTCTGAGATGCTGATGGGGCAGAGGGACCAGCAGCCCCTGACTCTTTCCAGTCCCATAAGCTCAATATTGAGACCAAAAAAGAGATATGGAAAAAGAACCTTCCAGAATAAATGAACCAGTGGTCCAGAGAGAAGAAGGTGGCTGCCCCGGGGTCAGCCTGTCAATGTCCCCATGCATTAATAAGAGGAGGCACAGGAAGGGGTGGCAGCAACTCCCAGGACCTCCTTGGCCTCCTTTTCCTTCTAAGCCCCTTCGTCCTTCTCCTGCACAGCCTCTTCTGCTTCTCCAACTTTAATCCTGACTCTCTTCTTCATGGCTCCCCACCAGACTCACCGTGACCTTGGCTTTCTGCTTGCCCTAGCTTGCTCAGCCCTGAAAGGAAAAAGAAAAAGGATGGTGTGGGGTCTGGGTAGAGCACAGGATGTTTTATTCCTCCCTCAATTCCTGCATCATGGCTGGAGTCACGACACCCCATCCCCTCCTGGCCCCCACACCCATCGCTCCATCACTTCCATCCCTCGGAGATCAGAGGGCACCATAAAAATAAAACCTGGAGCCCCAAACGTGTCTGATGTTCAATGTGTGCAAAGGGGCTGCCTGGGGTGAACCTGGTGATGCTGCCAGGTAATGCCAGCCAGGTGCCACAGGGCCTTTGGGGCTGTGGGCTGGGGTGGGGGAGGCTGCAAGAAGGAAGTGGGAGTTTAAGAGGCTGGGGGACAGCTGGCAAGAAGCCTTTGGGAGTGGTGTCCAAAGAGCAGAGAAGGGCTCAGGCTGAACATAATGGCCAGATCTTAGATGCTTACTGTGTGCCAGGAACTGGACTAAGCACTTCACACATTAACTCATTTAATCCTTTCCAGAAACTTTGTTCTAGGTACTGTTATTACCATCATCCCCATTTTACAGGTCAGATAAATAAAACACAGGGACACCAAGCTAGGACAGCATCGAGCCAGGTTTGAAATCCACCTGGTCTGGCTCCAGAGGCCACAGCCATTAGCTGCACCCCACATGTGCTCTGAACACCTCTCAGCAGAAGGCACCAGGGTTGCCAGGGTGGGCTCTGGGCTGCAAGGTGG